AAACATAGTGAAATTGCTTTATAACGAAAAAAAAACAACTTAACTTACATTAAAATATTCGTTATGTAAATAATATATGTTTTAAAAGGATAGTATATTAACATATTAAACACAAAAATTCATTATATTTAACACTAGTTTACATACGAAAAAAAAACAGTTAAAATTCAAAAGTCGAGTAGCAAAGGTTGGGCGATGTCAAGGTTTTTATAATAATAATTGTCAATATATATAATATATTATCTACCAAATGTGTTTTTCACATACACACACAATGAATTCACAAAAACAAAAATATTTACGTTTTTATTTTTGGGCGGATTTAATTTGACGACAGCTCTCCCACACTCGCGTGAACCGTCCCGAAATAAAGGTGCGTCGACTCGAAAATAGAACCGAGAAAAAGTTATAAACGAGAGCGAATTAAGAAAAAATACACTTGAAACATTAAATTAACAAGTTTTTTTTTCTACACCAACTTATAAAACGCGATTTCGGATTAAGGAATATTGTAGATACATTAATGGAGAACCGCTCACATTTTAAAAATTACTAAAAAATACACGTACGTTTATAATATACAGGTTTAAACAAAAATATGCTTTTTACCATAAGTTTAAGACACTCTGTAGAGTGGCAAAACCGTATATTGTTCTAAATTAAGTTTTATTTATCAAGTCACATCTATTTTTAACATTTTTGTTTTTGGTTTACCTTGATATATTTATTTTTGTGGAAAATATGGATTAAAAAAAAAACATTGTAATTTCCAATATTTTTCCTGTATGAAGAACTAAGGTTGCTATGGTCCATCCATAGCCTATGGAGGATGACAGTAACAGTTTTGTTGAATCATCCCATACTTGGACATGTCATATTCAGCTTTCAAAAGCTATAAAATTTGTATATTAATTATAATTTTGAGGTGTCTTTTTACTTTTAAAAATGTCTCCGATTGATGTTGCCCTTTGTACTTTACTTCTTGTGACGTTTAAAACACTTGCCACGTAATACTGTGACCGTCCATCCAGGATTAAATTAATGGCTCTGGCAACATCAGTCGGAGATATATCCATTTTTTAAAGTTAGAAGACACCTCAAAATTTAATCATTAATTTGCAAAAAACAATTTGATATCTTTTGAAAGTTGTGTATGACATGTCCAAGTATGGGATGATTCAACAAAACTGTCACTGTCATTCTCCATAGCATATGGATGGACCATAGCAACCTTAGTTCTTCATACATAAAAATATTGTAAATTGCAATGTTTTTTTAAAAAATCCGTATTTTCCACAAAAATAAATATATCTAGGTGAACCAAAAACAAAACTGTTAAGAATAGATGTAACTTGATAAATAAAACTTAATTTAGAACAATATACGGTTTTACCACTCTACAGCGTGTCTTAAACTTATGGTAAAAAACATCTTTACATCTGTATATTATAAACGTACGTCTATTTTTTAGTAATTTTTTAAAATGTGAGCGATTGTCCATTAATTTATCTACAATATTCTTTAATATTCGTTTAAATCCGACATCAAATAAAAAAGTTATTTGCGATTGAAATTCATCGAAAATTTGTGTGGATCGATTATTTTGCCTGTGAGTGTATATAGATAACTAATTTAAATTGTATACAAAATTTATCAATATTGACCGAAAAATGACTAACCTTAAACACGAAATTATTCGAAAAAGGATTGCGAAATGACTGCGTACATTAAAAGTGGGTTTTTTCTTTGTAATATAAACTTAGTCATCCCAATAATTTATTTCCCATCATTATTATTATTAAGTTTGCAGTTTTTAATTAAATGCGAATTTTCGAGCCGTTCGTTTAGCGATTTCTAGCGGGATTTTCTCGTTATTAGCATTTTATGTTTTTTATTATATTATTTTTACCTTTACGCATTTGGCAGATCTAAGCAAATAGAAAGTTTCGTCAGATTATATCAATCGTTTTGGTACTTTGAACATAGTGAAATTGCTTTATAACGAAAAAAAAACAACTTAACTTACATTAAAATATTCGTTATGTAAATAATATATGTTTTAAAAGGATAGTATATTAACATATTAAACACAAAAATTCATTATATTTAACACTAGTTTACATACGAAAAAAAACAGTTAAAATTCAAAAGTCAAGTAGCAAAGGTTGGGCGATGTCAAGGTTTTTATAATAATAATTGTCAATATATATAATATATTATCTACCAAATGTGTTTTTCACATACACACACAATGAATTCACAAAAACAAAAATATTTACGTTTTTATTTTTGGGCGGATTTAATTTGACGACAGCTCTCCCACACTCGCGTGAACCGTCCCGAAATAAAGGTGCGTCGACTCGAAAATAGAACCGAGAAAAAGTTATAAACGAGAGCGAATTAAGAAAAAATACACTTGAAACATTAAATTAACAAGGTTTTTTTTCTACACCAACTTATAAAACGCCCATAATCGTACATGTTTTTATTTAAATACACATTGACAAGTTGTGGCTTTATGGCGCTTTAGTCACGGGCGGAAGTTAGCAATAGGTTTTTAGTCACGGGCTGAAGTTTTAAATTAGTTGACAATTGTCAAATGTCATACAATCGTTAAAATAAAGTGCCTTTCTTGTAAAATAATACTAAATGTGAAAATTATTTTATTATCTCAATACAAAAATACAAGAGTATTAAATAGTTTCTTGACGCCAATATTTGAAAAGATTATATGAATGAAATGAAAAATTTTGCATACAGTGCCCATAAAACAGTCTCTTTTCTTTTACTATGAAAAACTGCTTCTATATCAATCGTTAGTCTATTTTCAAGGGATACATTTTGATTTACAGGTTAGAAATTCTAAGGGGAATTCCAATAAATACAACTGTTACTTTTTGTACCTTTAACATTTCCCGTGCAAGAATTAAAATAATCAAAGGACATAATATTTTAAAGTTATTTGAAGTTATTAATAAACTTTTCTATGCACTCATTTAATTAAGCACTCGCTTGCAAGCTCACTCGTACGTAAATTAAATTCATGACTAAAATGGCGTTGATACACAATATACCATATACTAAGCTGTGACTTTATGGCGTCACGGGATGAAGTTAGCAACAGTGGCTTTTCGGCATTTTAGTCACAAGCTGAAGTTAGCTTTATTATTAATTGGACAAAAATGGGTTTAAATCCGTTGACAGTTGACAGATGTCAAACGTTTAACAAATAAAATTGGCTTTAAATTCTTCTTCTTGTTCGTCGTACATAAAGTATAGTATGCAACTCATTTTATAAACTTCTCTAGACACTTGTTAATATTAAACACTCGCTCGCAAGCTTCGCTAGTGCCTAACAAAAATCGTAACTAAAATGGCGATTCTAAAACTTGATACATAATATCCTATTAAAATGCTAGAGAAGTTAGTATAATGGAATTTGCTTATTATATGAGGAGCGTTTATTTAAAAAGGGACATGTCCACAAAAAAACAAAATTTGTTTTATACTAATTTTAAAATTTTTCCTATTATTTCTATCGACTTGCTCCTTCAAATCGTTTTAAAAAATACATGTCCCTGTTACATTTTGTATATAAACTTTGTATATTCTTATGGGTAAATACCGATTTTATTCAAAAAGAGACAAGTCTGCCTTGTGCTATTTTTTTGTTATTTCTGTACCGATACCTGGTTATTTTAAATCGACCTTACTAAAATGCATTGACTAACATTTATTTTTACTTTGTAAAAACGTGAAAACCAAAATTAGTACGTCAAAGTTCAAACAAAATGGGACATAAACATTTAGTTCCGTCAAAAAGAGACATGTCTAAAATTATTTTAGAATTTTCTCTTAAAAAAAATAATATTTATTTTTGGTAATATATTTTTAGGCGCGCAACGAGCTATAATGGGGTGGTTAAATTTTTTCTGACCTATACTTTTTATGGTTTTATTCAAGGCGTTTTGTAATTTTAAACATTTCTGTGAAATCGGAATTTCAATTGAGTTTACCGTTTTCGAGATATTTACAAAAAAAATCTCCTAATTACGTCACTAGGCTATTGATAACGTTGCCAGCTTTTTCTATGGTTGCCAGTGTGTTTAGTTTAAGATTCTTACGATAGATGGCGCCACGTTATTTTAGTTTTAAAACCAATTGATCTATAATTTTAGTTGAGAAGAAGAAGAAGAATTGATTTTTTGACGATTCTTTTTTTCGGGTTATGTTTTTTTAAATTTAGATTATTGAAAATCAATGTTATTGTTATGTTATTTGTAATTGATATTAGATAAGTGATTTATTAATATCGGACTCCAAAGCAGAGGAATCTTGTGGAATGGTTGGTTACATTGAACATTGGAGTATAATGCCTAGTTGTTTATATTCTTTTAGATATATCTTGGACTCTAAAATATCAAACAGTAATATGATACCTCGTAATAAGGAAGATAGGTACTTAATGAATTTGGTGACCATCTTTCACTCAACTGACAGTGGCAGTATTTGTACATAACCTCTTCGGGTATTTTCTGACATAACCGAATGAAATCATTAACAAGACAACTTGACAACAGGGTAATTTTCAACCAATAGAAATCTTAGAATGTTGGTCACATGGCGAGGTTTGTGACGTCATAAAAATTTATATTTTTTGTAAATATCTCGAAAACGGTAAACTCAATTGAAATTCCGATTTCACAGAAATGTTTAAAATTACAAAACGCCTTGAATAAAACCATAATAAGTATAGGTCAGAAAAAATTTAACTACCCCATTTATCGCATTTAACATTTTAGGTCTGTCTCAATCTGAAACGTTTTTTTTTTCGTTTTTCTCCAAATCATTTTAGGTGGACATGTCCCTTTTTGAATAAACGCTCCTCATATGGACCCCTCTCTACCGAAACCATATTGTCAAAACGAAACAATTTAACCAAATGGCGCAGTCTGTAGGATTTTTTAGATGCAAACGTCTATACTCGATAAATGTCTTACCTGTAGCATACTTCACTTGGATCGACCCATACGGTGAGCTCTTGCGGCAGCCTGAGGTCCCTGTAGCTCAGGCCGCACTTCGAAGCGGCCCTTTCCAACGTGAGATCGATGGGACTCACTCCGTTCACCCTGATGCACCGGTAGCCCTGACCCTTGGTAGGCACCTCCGGAAACCAGTGTTGGTTAAATCTACGAAAACAAACAAATATTAGCCCACATGTGGATGGCGCAGTCGGTAGGTTTTGTAACAGTGCCCAAAATTCATCAAAATCGTTTTTTATTTTCTTATTCCACATATCACATATTATTTTAAAACTGTATTTTACTGTGCCGTTATAATACAAACTTAGATTTATGTAATTATTCAAATCATTCAGATGTTTAAAAACAATATTTCGAATGGCTAAAATACAATTCAAGGTAAAAAACACCATTTCTTGAATCATTCCAAGTAAATGACACTTTTTTTAAAACGGATGTAATTTTAACGTTCACCTTTCGCGAAGTATCATTGAAACATTAAAAAAGCGATTCTAATTTGAATGCTTAAAGGTTAAGAAATGCAAAAATTTTAATGCAAGCCTGATCATTTTAAAACTCAATAACAAGATAACATATCTAAATGCATTGACCTGGGTTTCGGATATACAGGATGTCCCATGTGATTTTTGTACCTATTGTTGTGATATTTGTTTTGCCTTCTTGTTTTTTTTATTAGAGTTTTTATGACTTTCATAATATTGTATTGTATTGTATTTATATTGTGGCAATTTGCTGTTAATAAACATTATTATTATTATTATTATTAATTAGCGTGCAATACTTTAACAGCAGATTCCACATACAAAAGTTTTGGGGGCTGTAGCTCCCTTAGGAAGCATTTCTCGACCTATGTTTATAGGGACTTTTTTCCCTATTTTTGTACGTGAAATCTGTTAAAGTAAATGTATTGAGCTCAAACTTGTCAGCTATAAGGGGTAAGTGTAAGATAGCTCATTTGAAAGGTAAGCGATAATTTTGTAGTGGTTACAGGTTGTGTGGTAACTTGCACACATCCTGTTATTTTAAATAATTTTCGTTTCGTTTTTTTACCATTTATTCCCTAATACCCTTATATCATATTATTATTTTTTTTATTTGTAACGCAAATCGTCAGTTTATTAAATAACTTCATATTATCCAAGCACTTTAAAACTTGACCTGTTTTAATTTAAAAAAAATTTAAATTTTTTTTTTTAAATTTCTAAATAATAGGTATTAAATATTTATAGACGTTTAAATGTCATTGAAAAATGCGACGTGGAGTCGTTGTTATCCGCTTGACAACCAGAGACCCTCATGAGGATACTGCAATAAATTAATTATTTTTAAACTTCTTTAATGATTTAATAAACTTTAGTAGAAGTTGTTCTACGATTGGATTTTGGCAGAATAAAGTCAAAGTTGCAGAAAATATGACAACCGAAAAAAGGTTATAAATTATTAAAAAGTGTTTTTTAATTTTTTTTGTTTTTAAACATATTTAAATAAAAATACATAAAAATATTTAAATGAAATTTCTTAATTTTTTTTTTAAAGAACGTTTAAAAACAAAAAAAATGAGAAAAAACATTATAACAAAATCAAAAATACCTACCCTGGATGCACCTAACTACTATTGTAAACTTTCTTATTTTGCATTTTAGTAGGAAAAGACATTCTTTATAAAAAGTTTTTTCAATAAATTCTATAGCCATCTTAAAAATTAAACAATGTATTTAAAAGTTATTGCTTTTGACATTTTGATTAAAGTAAATAATCATACAGTCATTATTCATAAATATTATTTACCTTAATCAAAATGTCGAAAGCAATAACTTTAAATTAAATTGTTGAAATTTAAAATATAAATTTCTATTGACATTATAAACTTATTTTTTTTCTAAAAGATTAGTACCGTAAAACGGGGCTACTTGAACATGTTTTTGGGACATTTTTAAAAATATCTGGGCAAGTGTTTGCAATAGGAGTTTTAAAAAATATGCATCGTACCGACCTACTTCATGGCTAATTCATGACCGAAAAAGATTTGAAAAAACATCGGTCATTAAGCCAAAAAAAATTTGTTTATGGGGTGTTCAAGTAGCCCCGTGGTTGGGGCTACATGAACACACATTTATTTTGCATTAAAATGCCGATAAAACTTGCCAGGTGTTCATGTTACCCCGAAATATGATAAATATGCATTAAGGATGGGGTCAGAGAGCCATATTGGGTTAAAGTTGATATTGATAATGATATTTTAATGATATTTTAATGATATTTTCTTAACGTATAATAAAACCCATAAAAGTATTACAAATAAACTTTATTCAAATACATAAACGTTTTGGCAAATAAACCTTTAAAAAATACCTCAACATTTCAAACATAAACTACAATGCAACTTGTTCAACATAGCTAAAGCTAAATAAACAAATATGCGCTATGTTCAAGTAGCCCCCGGGTGTTCAAGTAGCCCCGGTTTACGGTACATTTCTTAAAAAATAGGTACTTTATTCTTGACATGATTATACGCTCTTGTTTTTTAACCACCCTGTGTGTTATTTCGAAATTTTTAAGATGGCTTTGGAATTTACAGAATAAGACAAACTATTTATGAAAAATAATTTTTTTACTAAAATTTAAAATAAGAAACTTCACGAGTGTAGTTAGGTCCATTCGGGAACACACTGTATAATATATGAAATAAATATAAATATTTTTATATTTATACTTATTTATAAATATCATATTTTTGAACCCTGCAAAGCCCGACATTAATAATTATACCAACCTATAGAGAGATCGACATGTTTTTTTCTAATCTATTAATATGTTACTTTAATTTGGTTTGACCTCAAGCTCATTACATGTTTGATTAGAAATATTAATAATATTACCAGCCAGTTAAAATGTTTCATTACTGGATATAACTTAAAAATTCAAGTTGTTAACGAATATACAGTTTTTCCTACGCAATACTTTTGACATACGTAAAATTTATTTTTGTATATCGCCAACTACTAAACGTATTGAAAAGTTAAACGACCTCTATACATAATAATAACAACACACACAATACGACACGACACCTTTCCATTCGTTATTGTCGTTAGTATTATTATTGCCATATTATAGGTAGGTATTGTTTATCTTTTCTATAGGCATGTGTATTGTCATTTACAAAACTTTTCAGTTTTTACTCTCTAGACGACTGGTCACGTAGCTCGTGAATATCACAAATAAATCATCATATCCTTGCCATGTGCACAAGGAAAAAACAAAATAATAAAAAGTGTTTATTTTAGTAAGATATTCTATAGGAGATAATAAAAAATAGGCATTTTTGATAGCTAAATTTATATCCTAAAACTTCAAATTTTAGAAAGACATTCCTCAATGTCCATATTTTAATAAAATCCAATAATATTCCAAATAAAACATCTACTCCCACATTGACAAGTTGCGACTTTATGGCGTTTTAGTGGCTTTTAGTTAAGGGCTGAAGAAAGCTAGAGAAAAGAGAAAAAGTAAGGTTAATAATAATATATTATAATTTTTATTGAATAAAATACAAAGAAATAAAGGAGAAATTTAAAAGTGAGGTTAGATCATTTGACAAATGTCAGATTTTATTTAGTATACCAGGGACGACTATGATGTTTTTTGGAATTTTAACTACCCTAATGGTTCAAATCACAGTAAATAATAAAATCGGCCAATCACTAATGCCTAACAACGTGAATAATTTCTAGGCGGGGCGGGAAGTTATAATGGTTATCATTATAAATGGAAAACCCAAATAATGACAATAATATGCAATATGAGTATAAATAGTATATTGTGCGACTAGTAGGAGAAAGCGAGCGACTTTTGACAAATAGTCGCACAGAATATTTTATTCAACAACCTCAAAGAATTTAAAGCCAATTTTATTTAATATTTTATCTGACATCTGACAGCTCTGTCAATTAGTTTTAACCTTACTTTTTCCAACTTTAGAACGTCAAATAAAAAAAATACCCATCCATAGAAGGATACTTGGTGCACTCTGTACTTACATTATAAAAGCATAAATTAAATACAAAATGAATATTAATGTTGTTTTTTTTTCATTAATTAAACCATGATTACATTAAATTTTAACCGAATTCCGAAATAAATTAGAGTGGGAATATCATCAAAAAGTAAATTTACATTTACGACATCGCGAGACAGGATGGACTTCATTAAAAACAGTCAGCTTTAATATTAATAATAATATTGCACACATTAATATTAATTATGGCGTGCTTCTTGGAACAGTTTTAATTGCTAGTGCTGAGGCACCAAAGAGAAAGTCATTAGAAGTATGAATAAAAAATCGCATATTTTTTGCACACATCGGAATACATATATGTATATTATAATATTATACAAATATTTTAAAATCTGACAACACTGTACGAGAACAGAAACACGGTATAAACACAATTAATTAATTTAAAATTGTTATTTATGAGGTATAAGGTATTTTGTGTGCAATTTTGCAAAGGTACTCATGTTGAACATAAAATGCTCCTTAATCGAATACAAATAAAATAACAAATTATAAAAAAATATTCTTTTTTTTTAATTTAGGAAACAATAAATTACTGATTCCTAATTAATAAAAAAATACAGTTGTTTTTCAAATATACATTATTTTATCTCAACCGTTTCAGAAATAATAATATTAAAACATCTTCAGGGGCGCCCCTTTAAAAGGCTGTCCCTTAGGGGCCATTTGACCTAGGTTCATTTAAAGTTTTCTTCCTATTTTTGGCCCTAAAAATCGCTGGAAGAGTATTTTCGAGACACCCTGTATAAATGCGCTGTTGCCAGCTCGACCATGTATTTTTTTTACAGATACCTGTATTCAGAATATTTAAATAGCAAATTAAAAATGAAAAAAATGATGAGTGGCGAATTCGTATAAAATATTTGTAGTAATTACAAGCATAGTAAAAATGCATATATCTGAATGCTCTTATCTATGAACCAGTTCGTCATAAACAAACATGATAATGCGAGTTGAATGTTATGGAGTTTAACATGAATATAATTATACCAACTAAATACAAAAAAATATCAATTACTGTTTAATACACAGTGACAGTCTCTTAATTATAAACTAAAGATAAGAGGTA